CAACGCTGGGCGAGATAGTAGTGGTTTAAAAGGTGATGTTGTAGAAATATAAGAGGATGGATAGTTGTAGAAGAGTAAGGAAATGACAAAAGGTTAAAACGACTGAGTAGAAAGAACACGCGACATAGTAAGAAAGACATAAACGTAAAATATTCGTCTATGACAACTTAGAATAAAAAACGAGAGAGAGAGAGAGAGAGAGAGAGAGAGAGAGAGAGAGAGAGAGAGAGAGAGAGAGAGAGAGAGAAAGAGCGAGAGAGAGAGAGTTCATTAAGGCCAAGAATAAAAAACGCGCGACGGTGTAAATAAGGTAGAAAATGAGAAATATGGGTAAAACACTTAAAAATAGGCACGATAACAACCTTAAACAGAAATAGAGACAGGGAGGGAAAATTTAAATATATAAAAATTAACTGTACATAATTTCATTCAAACACGAATAGAGTCAAGAGTCACACTGTTAGGCTCGAAGAAAGAGTTAAACCTAAACGGTCGCAACAAGTGCACTCCGAACCATGTGAGATGGTCGCTCATCACATGGCTCTACAACTCAAGTTGCCTTAATATAATATAAAAATAAATAAATAAATAAGTTAAGAGATTGCACTGATTCTCGTGGACTGACGTAACTTCCATAAGAAAAAAAAAAACGAAGAATTTGAACGTAAACCACAATATAGAATATAGTCAAACTTTCACACTTCTGGTGATTACTTGAGTACTTTCTAAATCGTACGACATAGTATCTTATTTTTAGTAACCTTTTTGACTGACTACCTTAACCACTGTCAGTATTTACCTTTAGGTGCCCAATGAAGGGTGTCACATGATCTTTTTCATATCAATATTTTTAAATAAAAATAAAAGCGCAGAGGTTAGGAACGGGAGTAACATCATTGAGTTACCTTAGTTGATAGATACGTGCGCCTTTGACCGATCAATATAGAGACTTAAACGACACCTTCAACGCTTTCGTTCGGGGACCCAGCTCTTACGAGTCCATTGGCACGCGTCCTCGAGTTTTGGAGTAGTAAGTGTTAATTAATAGCAAATTGTTTTCAATGACTAAAAACCATTGTAATTGTATTTTTTTTACGGAGTTTTTGATTGTCGATCTCTCAAAACCAAAAAAAATTAATAAACTAATAAAACTGTAAAGGTCATAGGCTCGCTAACTAAAGTAACAATTAAAGTTTTGGGTGTGTTTCAAGAAAGAAGATAAGAGTTTCATTGTGAAAATGCCCCAAGACCTAGGCTACCAGCCGGGCCACCCGAGTCACCTTATTTTCCCGGTCGGCCTAGCCATGCAAGGACCAGGGAAGGAATAGGAATAGGAATAGGAATTCATCACTCAAGACAATTCATAGACTCAAAGAAAGTCAAAACTCAGAGTAAGTCACAATCACAAAGAAAACTCCATGATGGACGAGTAGATATTCAATGAAAAACGATACAGGTATCCACCATTCAGTCCACGACCAAAGAACCACCGTCTTCCGCCGGCATAGACTACCATCGTCCAGACAATAGTAGTCATACCGAACGTAAGACCTGAGAGGTCGTTCATACTAAACATCTACGTACTACATCAAACTCCCAGTCCAACTTCTTATAGAAAACACCAGAAACTTCGTCGTCAAAACTACCCAAAAAGTCGTAGTGTATCAGTCCTAAGTTCGAAACTCAAAAGACACTAGCCGATGCTAATGATTACTAACCAGGTACTGGTTTCGAGGCCCGCAGTCGGCTATCCAAGCAACAAGATAAACAATAAGTGAGAGACTACAGGCTTCTCAGGTATGTCACAGATTTGAATCGTAACCTTAACTGAAACAGTCCCGCAGTGGCTATCCAAGCAACAAAATGAAGCAAGTTGGTACTACAAGTGGAACTAAATTGCACGTCGCAGGTTCAAATCCTAAACTTAACTAAAACAGTCCCGCAGTGGTTATCCAAGCAACAAAATAAAGCAAATTGGTACTACAAGCGGGACTAAACAGCACGTCGCAGGTTCAACTACAGACTAGCCTAAGCAAAAGGTGCCAATGAATGATCGAACAAGTGACATATCCAATCATTAGACCATTGACAAAAAACATTAAAAAAAAAAAAAAAAAAAAAAAAAAAAAAAACACCTATCCTTGTTCAAAAAACAATAACCCAATATCACTCAACCCTGTCTGCTCAATGTCTGAATGACAATCACGATAGATATTGTACCATAAATTCCCAGATGTCCCCTCGTTTTACGGAAAAACGCCTCAAAACACGCATGAAAAAATCCTTAGGGAAATCCTTCAATGCAAGTTTCTGCTGTAGAGTTAGAACCCTGGTTGGGATCTCAGATTAGATCGAAGTATTTCGATCAATACGATGAAGGTAACTACCAATGATGGCGCTCTTTTGGTGTTTACAACCCCATGAAAGAAACGATTGACCATTCTGTATCTTCAAGCGATCAGCAACCCAAATGCAGTCTTCGTTCTTGGAAATCTGCACACAGCTCAAATACGGATAACTTTGTGAGGTCCGGATTTCACAACCCAAAAATTCGAAGGTGCTGGATGAGTCATCAGTCTGTTTCAACTGGAGGTTCGATGGGTAGCAGAGCTCAAAATTGCGCCAATTTTTTCACAACAGTCACCACTTTTGTGGGAGACGACCAACATTACGTCATCAATTAATCAGGTGGCAAAAATCATCCTAGCAGAATTCCCCAAAGTACTCAAAAAAAATATACTCCGAATACGCACACATTATACATGCCAAGGGTGGACTGGTGCTCTTCCCCAGAGGGATACCCAGCTCCTGCTTCAACAGAACTCCTGTTGCAAAGAAATACGTGTGCGCCAAGTCGGTAAATACGAATTTCCTCAAATCCTGCAGATCCAATTTTTTTCAGTGATCGCCACCAGTGGTATTACCAAAGCTGGCTCCCTTCCCGCGCGTATTGACACGAACGAAATGACGATTTTTGCTCAGATGATAGGACACTAGCCACTCAATAGCTTTACGAATATCGTCATGAGGCAACTTACTAAACATTTTTTTAATGTCAAACGATCGGGTCTCGATAATACGATCCGTGCCCAAACTGCAAAAGCGTCGATTCGCAGCATCCAAACGAGAACACAAATCGGATACTGATCTGAGATTAAAATGTCAGTGTTTCGGGTAAGAATTCAGCATATGGTTGAAGCCCTTATCTACAACTCGACCCGTCTTCACCATTGGATCGTTAAAAGATGGGCAGGTTGGTCTATATCTCTGCAAGTCATTTTGCTTAGGTATAACGTAAGCTGAACCAAAACTACCATCCTTGTTCCAACTGGTGAATTTCTGCAAGCCAGCTTCATGCATATCTTCCTGAATCTCTCTCAGAATGACCTTCTCAGTTTCCTGCACGATACAGTATCCTGGGTTATACACAAAAGATTTCAACATTGCTTCGTGATAGACAGACGGGCATAATACCAACGATTCTCCTGAATTCCTGTCGATCGCAGTAATCACTAAACCATGCAAACTCTTCTTCAAGTTCAAGACATCATCCATAGATAGGGAGGCATCGTTACAATCCGAGTTAACAACGCAAGAAAAAAGTGCATCCATGAGTACAGGTGGAGGCCTATTCCTGCAGTTATACCAACTTTGGAAACCATGGATCAGTTCATCGCGGAGTACTAGAATACGGTTGCTAATGACACCACGAGGAATGTTCTTAGCATTAGACAATAGTGGATGAATGCCCAACATCTCACTTAGGTGAAAAAAAACGTGCCCTTTCAATCGTGAAAGAGAAAATTTCGCGCAATTGCAAAGAAGCACATCGTATGTTGAAAAACTACGTTGATTGTGCAAAATATAAAATATCGATGGATTTTTTGTCCAAACGATAGGAATCTTCTTTTGCGCTCTATGTAAGAAGCAAATAGGTAAGTCACATTGCATCAAATAGTCATTAACAACCTTCCTTAATTATGATATCCGGATGCGATCATCGAATCTTACCTGAAAGACAAGATCGACACTAAGACTTAAACCAAAACGTTATCTAAAGCATCGAGAGATCAAGCGTCTAAGGTATTTTCTCGTCGATTTTCGAGTAAAATCTTTAATGACATTGTATATCCTAAGCATTGACCGCATGCTACATTCATAAACTGTGGATCACTTTCGAGGATTCTTTAAAATTCATACCAGTACGAGTTTCAGATAAACACAGCGCGGTTTTCATTTGCAGACAAAAAAAATCTCAAAGCATCCGCCTGCTTCAATCAAAGATTTGCAATTTTTAAACAGCAAAGTATCACCCTCAAAGCGCATCTTAGTATTGCCAAACGTTCTTACGAGTTTTTTCTAAATCGGTCGCCAAATATTACCCCTATCAGTACGGAAGTTAATACGTGAATTCCCCTGCGAGATAACATCATCAAAAAGAGCATAAAAATCAACATCCCACTGACAAGAATGCGAACGTAAAAAACGAATAGGTTTGATCGTCGATTGCACGGATAGTTTCTTCGTCCCGTTCCTTTTTCTACGCTCATTCCTACCCGGTTTGTTTTTTCCTGGCGCCACACAATCTATACTTGATACCTGTCGTATTTAAGAAGTGAGACCAAAGCCGAATATATACATCTTATAAAATAGGCAGGTCAGTTCCTACTAAAATATCGACAGGAATGAGAACATAGTTACCAATGCCATACGAACTCAACCATAGATGGAAATGAGCAAGATTATGCGTTCTACATTTATAAATGTGTTCACGCCAGCGGGTATTGACATCACGACTTGTCCTTCCCACATAAAAAGACTTACAGAAAGGTGACACAGCCAAGTAAACGCAGTGGGATAAATCCAAAAATTCAAGACCATGTTGCTCGTACAGCTTCAGCCAAGCAGGTAAGAACTTACCAGTCCATCGGATTGCGTCATGCAAAGTCAAATAAAAAATAACAGCTGTCAATAGTCGTTCAAGTCTACGATTAACCACAAGTGTCTTGCACCGATAGCTTGTCAAAAACTTGCAAAGTTGCCATAATTGCGACACACTAGAGTCACATCACTGTCCGCGAATCACTGCGGGGTGATCACAAGTCTCAGATTCAACTTGGATGATTTCCTCAGCGGTTGCACCTTCATCGCCAAAGGCTAAAGTAGCTCGTCGTTTGACGATATCGAAAATCGCATCAACCTTTTTATCGTACAGAACACCTTCCTCCTTGCACATCCTCTGCAATTCTGTAGCATCCATATCCTTTAAATCTAGCCTCACCTTGTTCTTGAAACGCATTCGAGCCAGCGTACCTTTCGTTGCGGATTTATCAGCTGGTGTGATATTCTTAACACGATGCGATAGCGGAGTCTTCACAGGAGACAGCTTCTTCTCTGACCCATTCTTCTTGCCAGCTTCCTTGGCCTTTGATCTTGTCAAACGGGGACAGAGTATCACCAGTTTCGTGGCTCCCCTCTTCGGCGTCCTTTTGGGTGGCAGCTCCATGGGAGAGTTGTCTTCGAAAACTCGTTCCGACCCCCTCTTCCTTTTCTCTGCAATACACAACTTGCCCGCTTTCTCGGTAATCTCCTGCGTCACACTCGTGTCGCTATCACCACCATTGTGTTCCGAGAGTGAGTCACTGCCCGAAGGATAAGTCATCTTCATCTTCCCTTTGTCCAGACTTGGCAAGCAAGCCGGTAGCACAGCTTCCTTGAAAGTCTCAATAAACTCATCCCGGATCTCATGTCGCATCGCATGTCGCAGCTCTTGTATCTTCATTCTCATCTGGATGCCCAAATCCTTTCGTATATCCGCTCTCTTTTCGGCTTCCTTCCGTTCTTTCTCCTTTTTCTTCAGAGCCTTGGCTTCCTTCCTAGCCTTCTCTTCGTCTTCCCACTTCTCAAGTCGTTATTGCTCTTCCGCTTCGCGTCTCGCGGCTTCCGCTTTCTCCTGCTTCCTTTGAGCCCTTTTTTCCTTCCTCCTAACTTTAGTTGATGGCCTGGCCATATGATATTGCCTGCTCCCACGATGAGGGCATTGGTTAGCGTAATGCCCGACTTCATGGCAAGAGAAGCAAGTCAGTTCTCGATATGGACGTCGATCTCTTCGATCACCACCTCCTCCGTATGTTCCCTCGACATCTCGATGCTCCGACATCGGCAACTTCCAAAAAAGTAACAGGTCATACAACCGTAAACGGGTAACACGCTCACTCAGCCCAGTAGGTATACTCCAGGAAAGTTCACGTGCGCAGTCCTAGGAATAAGAATTCATCACTCAAGACAAGCCATAGACTCAAAGAAAGTAAAAACTCATAGTAAGTCACAATCACAAAGAAAACTCCGTGATGGTCGAGTAGATATTCAATGAAAAACAATACAGGTATGCACCATTCAGTCCACGACCCAAGAACCACCGTCAATCCCAAAACCAACTTAAGACCTCAAGGACTACCATCGTCCGGACAATAGTAGTCATACCGAACGCAAGACCTCAGAGGTCGTTCCTACTAAACATCTACGTACTTATACTACATCAAACTACCAGTCCAACTTCTAATAGAAAACACCAGAGAAGGTCATAGCAAAAAAAAAAAACAAAAAAAAAACAACTACATTGTGCAGAAAAATAAAGTAAATAACTTTTGCCTTAGGGTCACATTGAAATTATTTATCAAATTTAAAATAAAAAATATAGTTAAAAATATATATATATATACATATATACAGGGTTACCAGCCCGTACGTAAGGAGGCCCCGGGCGGACCTCCGTACGTTCGGGGGCCCGTACGGGGTCCGAACCTGACGGCGTTCGGCCCCCGCCAAAAATTATTTCGGGGCCTTAAAATATTTTTTTTTTTTCGAATTTTTTTATGACTTCTCTATGACGTAAGGTACATGCCTATAAATTTCCAATTCATTCGGCTGAGCCAAATAAGAATTAAGAATCGCCAAAGATGGCGGTGTGAAAACGTGCTCGCCCACGTTTTTTTCACTTTTCACTTTTTGTTTTCACTTTAGTTCGGGGTCTAAACAATTATATTATTTTTTGAAACGTTTTTAGTGGGTTTTGTATTATGTGAAGTACGCATATATAAATTTTCAGGGCATTTAGCTATGCCAAAAAAAAATGAAAAATTGCCAAAGATAGCGGTGTCGAAAACATTCTAGCGCACTCACGTAATTTATTTTTTTATTTTTTATTTTTTTTTTTATTAGTATTTGTTCTGTGTATTTTATTTTTATTTCAAATTTGGAAAGGAATTCGAACGTAATTCTCAGGCAAATCTTGTTTAATTTATTTTATCAATAACATATCTTTTTTTCAGATTTTTTGATGACTTTTTTTTTTTTTTTTTTTTTTTTTTTTTAAATTTTTTTTTTTTTTTTTTTTTTTTTTTTTTTTTTTTTTTTTTTTTTTTTTTTTTTTGGGTCCGCGCTCGGCCTGAACGGTCGAACGCATCCCCAAGGGGTCCCATACGTTTGGGCGTTCGGGTTCGGCCGAACGAGCCGAACGCCGGTTACTCTGTATATATATATATATAACCGGCGTTCAGGACGGGCCGAACGCCCGAACGCACGAACGTATGGGACCCCTTGGGGATGCGTTCGGCCGTTCCGGCCGAACGCGGAAAAAAAAAAAAAAAAAAAAAAAAAAAAAAAAAATCAAACAAATAAAAAAACTCAGAAAAAAAAATATGTTATGAAGAAAAATAAACTAAACAAGATTTTCCTGAGCATTACATCCAAATTCCTTGCCAAATTTGAAATAAAAATAAAATACGAAAAGTAAATACTAATAATAAAAATAACAAAAAAATAAAAAAGAATTAAATTAAGTGAGTTCGCGAGCACGTTTTCGACACCGCCATCTTTGGCGATTTTTCTTTTTTTTTTTGTAAGAGCAAAATGCCTTGAAACTTTACATATGTCTACTTCACATCATGCAAAACAGACTAAAAAAGTTTCAAAAAATAATAAAATTGTTTACACCCCGAACTAAAGTGAAAACAAAAAGTAAAAAATGAAAATAAATGTGGGCAAGCACGTTTCGACACCTCCATATTTGGCGATTTTTAATTCTTATTTGGCTGGGCCAAATGACTTGAAAATTTGTAGGCGTGTACCTCACTTTATAGAGAACTCACAAAAACAAATTCGAAAAAAACAAGTATTTTTAGGTCCCGAAATAATGTTTGGTGGGGGCCGACCGCCTTCGGGTTCGGACCCCGTACGGGAACCTGAACGCCCGTACTCGAACGTTCGGGAGTCCGGGTCCTCGTACGAGGCCTGGAGCTGAAGGTGTTCGGAACCCGCAAAAAAATATTTTGGTACGTCAATGTTATTACATGTTTGTGAATTATGTTTTTTTAGTTCTCTGTGAGGTAGGGTATCTCCCTCTGAATTTTGAAGTCATTCTGTTTAGCCAAAAAAAACTGAAATATCAGCAAAAACATGGTGGTGTAAAACCTTGTTTGCCCACTCATTAATTTGTTTTTTTTCTCTTTTCACTTTTTATTTGCCCTTTCGTTCGGAACATGAAAAAAAATATTATTTTTTCAAACTTTATTTCTCTATTATGTAAGATACACATATGTAAATTTTCATGGTATGTTTCATTAAAAAAAATATAAAAAAATCACCAAAGATGGCGGTGTCAAGAACGTGCTCCCCCTCTCAATAATTGCATTATCGTTTTATTTTTTTTAATTTTTAATTTTATTATTTATTTGTAGTATTTGATTTTTATTTCAAATTTTGTAAAGAATTTGGATGTAACGTTCAGACAAATGTTGTTTAGTTCAGTTTTCTGTATAATATACATTTGTTTCAGAATTTTAAAATTTTTTGGTTTTTTTTTTTTTTTNTTTTTTTTTTTTTTTTTTTTTTTGGTTCGGGTTCAGCCGAACCTGTCGAGAGGGGGTGCCGAACGTTCGGTCGTTCAAGTTCGGGTATTCGGCCGACCCCGAACGCCGGCAACCCTTATAGCAATGGTTTAGTTACATAAATAATATAAAGTATCACCCTCCACCTTTTACGTAGTGGGTAGTTCATCTGGGTCGTATGCCTTGTATGGGGTACTTATACAGTAATGTTAAAAGCAAATTTGACTATATGTTGAAACCTCCGCCGAGTATCCAATAATGAATGCGTCGGTGCGGACAATCAGCAAGGAAGTCTAAGACCATAAAGCTTCAACGATTGCACGTCAAGGTTAGGATTGCGGATTTGATACGTGAAGTCGGTCTCATTTCGGACCATTCGTTACTGTTCCCTTCTCAAGCAGACGACAATCGTATGTATGGACAATAAACGACAGTTGAATTCGTGACACTATATAAATAATAATAAATAATACAAATATAATAATTAAAAAAAAAAATCAAAAATAATAATAATAATTTTGTATAGATATATAATAAAAATGTAATAAAATATCATACGAAACAATCATCTGTTCATTGTGTTTTAAGTCTTATAAATAAACGGAGAATGATAAAATGTGTAAAACCACATATTGGTCTTATAAATAAACGGAGAATGATAAAATGTGTAAAACTAAATATTGGTTTACTTCATAGGGGTGCATAAAAATTATTTGAATATAAAATATATCTATAAAGTTTTGTGTGATAATCGTTTTGAACAATTTTCATTATGTACAAAAGTTTTTTCAACAGGTTTCGCACAGTGTAAAATAAACTTTCCAGCTACGAACGTCTTAAAGAGTGGTAAAAAAAAAAAAAACAATCAAGTAAAAAAAATACGACAATTAGGTATGATTAATAAGAAAGTAGTTTCTCGATATTTAGAATTGGGTCATGGGCATACAATAATAAAACGCTTTAAAGATACTGATGGAATAATATACATCATGAGGATTGGATCATATCATCACAATTCGTAGTTTCCGTGCGTCTGACGTATTAACTTTGAGGATCGATAGAAAAGTTTCGTCTAACGAATATGTTGATTTGTTCTATCAACTCGAGTGTCCTTTATGCCGTATTTCTTGGTAGTGTATGTAAGAAGGTTTTTCACAAGAAAAATAGTTTTTTGTCAACACGTCACAGAGAGTCGTGACCAACGCCTAGAGAATTTATCGACGAGGGCGCAATACTTTGTGTGTCCTCTTAGCTCGACATTGATCATTTATAAAGATAACGCGTATGAGGGTAACCACAATCTGACAGTTACCTTATGTTTCTGAATCAATTGAGCAAATTTCATCGCAGCCTGAACGTATTTGGTACATTGGTTTGTATTTCATTTAATATTGTGAAGAAAAGTATTCACTAGTATATATGTTAATTGTACACAATTTCGCAAAGTTTGTTCTAGGTTCCCAAAACTATGAAAATTATTATTTTTAAAACTATAAGTTACTTGTTTGAGTGGTTTTTCTTCTAGCAACTGTTTTTCATGCAGCTTCGCTCACAAATCATTATTGTATTTTTTAACTTTGTTTTTCGAAACGGGTGTCATAAGAAAACGTTACCTTCAATTGAAGCTCAAATAACTCATCAAGTTCTATATAATACATGCCATCACCATGAAATTTTTAAAAAATTATAAAATATGGGTGAATTTTTTTTTAAATATTTTTATTACCAGCAAACTTACAGAAGTAAGAATCGGTAAAGAAAAAAAAAACTATAGATATTTTATGTTGGTTATCCGCACTGACGCATTATTTATTGGATATTCGGCGAAGGTTTCAACATATAATCAAATTTGCATTGAACATTATTATATAAGTGCTTTAGGTAAGACATCCCTCCCAAATAAACTATCCAACATACAAGGTCCTACATAAACCAATTGTTTGGTAAGTAGACACCCTTAGATGAAGGTTGCAAAATTTGTCATGAACATATCGTTATTTCAACAGAGTTT